CTTTAAAAATAGTGTTATTCTTTTAATTGAAAATTATTTTTCTGGCATTTTTTAAGTTACTGTGGTCACATCATTACTAATGTATCCCTACTCCCAAAATAGAAGCTTGTTTTTCTAACCTTAAAATTACAAAGTCCTGAGATTCTGAAAGGGAATTTAGATGCAATATTTGATAGATCTTGAAGCCAGAGTGCTTTTGTGATGGAGCCCAGAGCCTGGCACTAGCTAATAGCTGTGACTGGTTTCCTGTCTTACATTTGAAAACTCCATCCAGCAATCGGTGCTTCTTCCTGAGAGATCCTCCAACTAGGCCTCCTTCTGGGGGGAGGTGTGGGGACTGAGGAGGGAGGTCACCTGGAGTGGCTGCGCCCCAGGCTGCTGGGGGCGGGGCTCTGGTGGAGGAGGGCAGAGGGGCAGCCCCGCCCAGGAGGAGGAGAGCTGGTCAGGCCTCCCGAGATTCTGCTGGGGGCAGGGGTAACTTGAAGAGGATGAAGCTCCCGCCCTTTCTGTTGTTGTTCTAAATAAATGTTTTGTTTTAAGGGGTAAAAGGGGGGGGGGGGCAAAGAACAGCCGCAAGAAATGTCCATGCTTTAAAATCTCTGCACCGAAATGATGCTGATCAGGAACTCAGGGCCGCAGGGCCATGGAGGACGATGGAAAATCATTCAGTTGAAGAATCCGGGTGGAAGTTCCTCAACCTTGGCATTAGCAGTGGGGCTGGATAATTCTCTGTGGGAGCGGCTGTCACCCTAAGATGTCAATAGCCTGCATCTGTCATACGGAAACAAGTGGTCAAGTCCTGAGCCTTGGTGACTGTACTGAAGAGCCAAGTCCTTGCAGATGCAGCCAAGTAAACCGAGGTCATACGGACTTGGCCACTCAGCCTGACGACTGTGCCTTTGTGACAGGAAGGGGAGGGGGCGCGGGATCCGGAGACAGACGCAGAGGGGGGGTGGCCATGGCAAGAGGAGCCAGTGGGTGGCACGGGAGGGGTGCAGCTTGAGCCAGCTCCCCTGCAGAGGGAGAAAATCCAATCTTTTAATCTCTGGAACAACAACGAGATGTTGGCATTATTTGCCACTACCTGGAAAAGAAGGCCACGTGGCAAATTTCCAGTGACGACTAGGAAACAGGAGAATGTTGATGCCTTGAGGAATGTGTGCATGGTCTTGGCACCTCACCCCGCATTATCCAACTTGCCTCACCCCGCCCTCTTTCTCCCCGAGAGGGGGCCTCCGGCGACAAGTCCACGGCCGAGCTCAGGCTGGGATACACAGTTCCTGCCTCTGCATTGTGTATTTCTTGTAGTGACTCAGCTTAATCCTTTCGGGGAAGTTTTTAAACTCCATCTGCCTGAATTTCCTGCCAATTCCCTTCAAATGTGGGCGTGTGCCAAATCGGCCTCCTGCCCACTGAAAGCAGTAGGTTTACACTTCACCTTTTGGATGGAAAAACACCTGGGCTAACCAAGCACCTCTCGCTTTCCATCCTCTGACTCCTGCGCACACCGTGCTTTGCACTCGGATATTTCTGTGCTGCTCCCAGACTACCCAGACTTCCCTCCTCTGGAAGCTTGGCTTTTCCTTTTCCTTCTGTTCCTTCAACTGCCACACCCGTAGACTTTGCCCAATCCCAGCCTAGATTCCTTCCTGTCCTTGTTCTGCTGCAGGACCTCGGGGAGCCCTTGCATCCAGGTCCTGATGGAACAACCTGCAGCGTCATCTGGCATCAGCTCCTCTCTCTTACCCCCCGGAGTCCCTCAGAGACGGGGGTCAGGCTTCACCGTCTGTAGCTCTCACGCCAACTTGTGTGACATGCGGGGAGTTACAGACAATACCATGAGCGAGGGCTAGTCTAGCACCCTGGCGACACTCAGCCGTGAGCCGGGCGCCTGGACTGAGACTCCTGTGAGTCATGCAGCCCTCTGGGGACTGGCTGCCTCAGCTGCACCCTCAGCAGCCCCAAGCTGTCAGGTGCTCGAGGCTCGCACCTGCACAAACTGGGAAATAAGGGTTAGAGTGACGGCATTATTTCCAGCTCTGGTCACTCCCATTGTTGCTGATAGGGTGACTAATAATAAAAAAAATAATGATAGCAATACTAATGCTAATCATAATGATGACGTCAGACCATCTCCAAGGGACCAGGGCGGTGTCAGGGACCAGGAGTGGGGGAGAACCCTTGCGTCCGGTCCTGCGGTCCTGGCCCAGAAAGAGCGCCCGGCGAGGATGCAAGGACCGCAGGGCATGGCTCCTCCCTGGGTCTGCATCTGCCCTGATCGTCCTGACCTGCTTTCTCCTCACGGGAGCCTGTCAGAGGACGAAGCCCCTGAAGGAGAAACAGGACTTCCGTCAGGAGAAGGGCAGCGTTTGGCAGTGTGTGCACACATGGATGTCTTCGAGAGGCAGGGAGCCTGGCTGCATATTCAGTGCGGTGGAGAACACTGACCCTGATAACATTCTTCATATAAACAAGAAAAGGAAATCACTTCTGAGCCAAGTGTAAAAGTGAAGCTAAGCAGGCCAGGGGTAATTTAAATTGAATGGCGTTTACGGAATGCAGCCCAGTCGGCAATAACAAGCCTTTGCTCCTCTTCCCTGACTTGTTTGATAGCTTTGGAGTAGTTTTCATGGGAGGTAAGGTCTGGGCACCCTCAAGTCAAAGAAACAGTAGCCGGTGCAGGAACAGTAGCCTGGTACTGGCACAAGAACAGGCTGATAGACCAGTGGAACAGAACAGAGAACCCAGAAATGGACCCAAGACAACATGCTCAATTAATATTTGACAAAGGAGGCAAGAGCATACAGTGGAGTAAAGACAGCCTCTTTAATAAATGATGTTGGGAAAATTGGACAGCTACATGCAAAAAAATGAAACTAGACCACCAACTTACACCATACATAAGAATAAACTCAAAATGGATAAAAGACATAAATGTGACCCATGAATCCATAAAAATCCTAGAAGAAGATGTAGGCAACAGAATTTCAGACATCATATGCAGCAGAATTTTCACTGATACATCACCTAAGGCAACAGAAACAAAGGAAAAAATGAACACATGGGATTACATCAATCTAAAAAGCTTCTGCACAGCGAAAGAAACAACCATCAAAATCGAAAGGCAACCCCACTGTATGGGAGAGCACTATTGCCAATGATACATCAGATAAGGGGTTAATTTCCAAAATATATAGAATGCTCATACAACTCAACAAAAGGAAGACAAAGAACCCAATTAAAAAATGGGCAGAGGACCTAAATAGGCACCTCTTCAAACAGGACATACAAATGGCTAAGAGACATATGAAGAAATGCTCAACGTCACTAATCATCAGAGAGATGCAAATTAAAACAACAATGAGGTATCACCTCACACCTGTCAGAATGGCCGCCATCAACAAATCCTCAAACAACAAGTGTTGGCGAGAGTGTGGAGAAAAGGGGACTCTAGTGCACTGCTGGTGGGAATGCAGACTGGTGCAGCCACTATGGAAAACACTATGGTGTTACCTCAAAAAATTAAAAATTGAACTTCCATTTGACCCAGTGATCCCACTTCTAGGAATATACCCTAAGAAGCCTGAAACACCAATCAGAAAGAATATATGTATCCCCATGTTCATAGCAGCACTATTTACAATAGCTAAGATCTGGAAACAGCCCAAGTGTCCATCAGTAGACGAATGGATAAAAAAGCTGTGGTACATGTACACAATGGAGTACTACGCAGCTGTAAGAAAGAAAGATCTCTTATCCTTTGAGACTACATGGAGGGACCTGGAAAATATTATCCTAATCGAAACAAGCCAAGCAGAGAAAGACAAATATCACATGATCTCACTTATTTGTGGAATATAATGAACATAACAGTCTGAGGAATAGGGTAGACCCAGAGAAGTAAGGTACAGACTGACAATCCTCAGAAGAGGGGGTGGTGGGAGGAGGGAAGAGATGAACCGCAGCACTTATATGCATGTATGTATAACCGATGGACATGGACAACAAAGCTGGGGATGGGGTGTGGGGGATGGGAAGGAGGGTGTCAATGGGGGAACAAAGGAGAAACATCTGTAACAAAAATAAATTAATAAAAAAAAACACGAAGTTCTGAGATGGGTGACAGAGTGATACATGTTTTCAAAAGAGGATGTAAGAGACAGGAAAACCACAAGTCAGTTTAGAGGACTCCACACTGAAACCACAGCTGGAAAAGGAGCAACAGCTGGGCTCTCCCTGTGCGCCCCTGCCGTCCCCGGTGCCCTGCGTTGTCTGGGCTGTCCCTCTCATGGCCAAGCTCCCCTCGGGGTCCTCCCACCCCGTCCCCCGCCTCATGCCTTCCAGGCTTCTGCCATTCTTACCTACCCCCCGTGTCTCCAACGCTGTTTTATATAGAAACTACAAATTGCAGAATGAGAAAATGAAAGGTTTTTTTTTTTAAGCCACTTGATGTAAATCAATAGGGATTTTTCAGTGAAAAAGAAAAAAGAAAAAGCCTGGCCGGTGTGGCTCAGTGGGTGGAGCGTCGTCCCATGGACCGCAAGGTCCCAGTTTGATTCCCGCTCAGGGCACATGCTGGGGTTTCAGGCTCGACCCCCAGTAGGGGGCGTGCAGGACGCAGCCAATGGATGTTTCTATCTCTCTCTCCCTTCCTCTCTCTCTCTCAAAAAAAATTGTCAATAAAAACACGGGGAGGGGGTTGGGATTGGGAGGAGGGTGTCAATGGGAGAAAAAATAATCATCTATAACCAAAATAAATAAATAAATAAATTTTTTAAAAAAGAAAGAAAAAGCAAACATAGAAGCAACTGGAGATGTGGTCACACTTAATAGCCCGATATATTTCCGAGTATCTGTGGACCACACACGACCTAGCTCATCAGCTCTTCCTGAAAACAGTGTCTCTCAGGAAGAGCACATGACACTTGAGCTGCTGTGAACCAGCTGTTCGTCACTCTATCGCAACGAGAATGTGTGACCGCTTGTCCTTTTCCTCACAGGGTCGCCCTTCACCAGTCTGCCTGTTGGACAAGACTCGCTGGCCAAATACTCCAACCTTTCCTTGCAGAGTCATAACATATCACTGACGGGTAAGCGTATCCTATTTCCAATAATACAACGCGGCAATGAGCCTTTATTTTTAATTAAGCCGCTGCATATTGCTTTGTGAAGTACTGATCCCTGCTCGTGGTCTGGTGGGAGAAACACACCTGTCTTCATACAGTCACGGTCCATGTACAGTGTATACAGCACCGTATACTACATGGGATGGGGCGGGGACTGGCCAGGAGGAAGCTGTGCTCTGGGTGCGGGGAGGAGGCAGCTAGTCTAGACACAGAGGCTGAGAGACCTCTCCAGAAAAGAGACACCTGGTGGTGGTGGGGGGGTCATTCTGAATTGCAGATACTCTGATTTTTTATCAGTTCTTTTTTCTTTTTTATCCTCACGGGGACATTTTTGCATTTATCTTCAGATAGAGTGGGAGGGAGAGAGGGAAGAAGAGAGAGAGAGAAACATTGACGCAAGAGAGACACATCAACTGGTTGCCACCCACAGGACCCCAACCAGGGTGGGGACAAACTGCAACCGAGGTACGTGCCCTTAGCGGGAACCGAACCTGGGTCTCTCCAGGCCATGGGCAGGTTGACGTTCTAACTGCTGAGCCAAACCAGCAGGGCTTTTATCAGTTCTTGCTGGTGCATCCATTGAAATCACTGCTTTGAGAGGAGAATTCGTGTAACCTGTGAAAGACCTCTGGACAGATAACTAAAGGTGATGCCACTGAGCCCATGACGGGGGGTAGAAAAACAGGTCAAACTCAAGCTAAAACTCAGCTCTTTTTATGGGTTTGGATCCCCATGTTTCAAAAGTAATCTCAGAGTTCTTTAAATGAGCCAGAGTAGTTCTCTGGCTTAGTAACAATATTAAAGGTTTGATTAGCAGTTAAAATATTTTAAACCTGTTCATTGAGTCAGTAACAAGTTTTCTCCAGTTATATATCTAGTCTTGAGCTGTTCTCCTGTCTGAAGAACTGTTTCTTTTTTCTTTAATTTTTTTTTCTTTATTGATTTTTAGAGAGAGAGGAAGGGAGAGAGAGAGATAGAAACATCGATGAGAGAGAACATCGATTGGCCGCCTCCTACATGCCCGTCACTGGGAATCGGGCCCACAACCTGGGTGTGTGTCCTGACTGGGAATCAAACCGGCGACCTCTTGGTGCAGGGTCAACGCTCACCCACTGAGCCACACCGGCCCGGCTGAAGATCTGTTTCTGTTTAACGTGATGAAAGGTGTGCTTTTCTCTCCCATCTGATTCCAGTGGGACGTTGGCACTGAGCTTTTTCATAGCACATTTTTTATGACACTGTGCAACTCCTTTTTGTCCTCAATACCCCCGTTTCAATATTTAGGATGTATTCTTACTTTCAGAAGTCATGACAACACTCCTGTGTTACCTGACTTTTTACTTTTTGAGTGTCCCAGCGGCTGAGTTCCTCTGTTAGGATGACACGTTTGAGAGAATTCACGGAAAAGGTAGGTTTGCGAGTCCTCGGACAGCAGAGGTGGGGACAACAGGACACCCCTCGATTCCCGAGTCCAGCTGGAGCCCGGGGAAGGGAGGTGCCAGCGAGGGAGAGGAGCTGACTTGTGAGTTGATGCCAGGCTGGGTGTTGACTTACTCAGCCTGTTGTTGTTTGGAGGGTTTAACTCCGAACTACTCCTTTATTCTACGATTGCTGTTGAAGCCAGCAGTCCCGCCGTTACGAGGAGATCGGGTGTTCACAGGTCATCGCTTCCGTAGCTTCGCCGTGGCCCGATGGACCGGGGCCAGGCACTGTCCCCTCCTCCCGGCCCTGAGCTCGGGCTTGCCCCAGGTCTGAGCAAGCACACAGGGCATGCCCCAGCCCAGGCAGCTGCCCGCTTGCGGTGCTGTTTTGCCCTTTCCCCTGGAAGGTGCCCGCGAGCCTGCGTCCCCTCCCCGGGGAAGAAGGGCCTGTTTCTGCTTGATTTGAAAAGCTTGCAGATCCAACGTCGGGAGCATTTTCTTGATTGCAATAGACTCTTTGTATGAAGTTCCTCCTTATCTAAGCTCGGATTTGTTTTCAGTCGACAACAGAACGGATTTGACATTCCTTTGAGACTGGATGTGTGAGCTGTGAGTCGATGGTTTCGTTCCTGCGCAGGTTGTTCGGCACGTTTGGTTGTAGGCGCTGCCTTTCCCGAAATACGGAATTTAAATCTGAGGATGTACTGATGAGGAGGAGGAACCCTGGGCTTTATTCTCACTCACTTTTTAGGCCACTTTATAAATAAGATGCTTTCATATCGTCATAGCTTTATTTGCGTTGGACCAATATAAATTATATCATTTCTCATGTGCGTCTGAAAATGGTACTTACAACAGTTATTTTATATATTATTTTTGTTTCCTCTCTGGCCAGTGTGGAAGTTGATCTCTCTTTTAGGACAAAATGTTTCTGGTAGAGAAATTCAAATGTAACGCATTCGTTGCAAGTTTCGGACCATCATGACACCATTGGCCCAGTTCTTAGCATATTTCACTTATCATCCAAAGATGCTTCAGGCTGGGAAACACAGGGTCCCGTGCCTGGGAAAGACACGACCTCTGATTCATGGAAGCCTGATTATTTATTCTGCTATGTTTTTAAAATATCGCTAATTACTTACTTAACAGAAACGCAGTCGTGCGTTTTTTGAAGACCAGGATACCCTGAGAAACACGTCGTTAGGCAATGTCATCCTTGTGCAAACATCACAGAGTACACTTACGTAAGCCTAATTGGTGTCGCCTACTACACAGCCAGGCTATCTGGTCTACCACCATTATATACGCAGTTCGTCACCGACGGAGAAGTTGTTATGCAGCGTATGACTGTATATATTTCTAAATAAACATAATAGCCTATGCAGTGGATATTATTTGTAATTTTCAGAGGATGGAAAAGAGGCACAAACAGAGTAAATGAATAGACTGAGGTCACAGGTGTCAGTGAGAGTTGTGGGAACCCAGGTAGTCTGGCATCAGGAGCTTAGCTTATGCAGCTTTCCTTTCTTCTTTTTTTTAATCCTCACCTGAGGACATTTTTTTATGTTCTTGTTCAGATAGGGTGGGAGGGAGAGTGAGGGAGGGTGGGGGGGGAGGTGGAGAGAGAGAGAGAGAGAGAGAGAGAGAGAGAGAGAGAGAGAAAGTAAAAGAGAGAGAGAGAGAGAGAAACATTGATATGAAAGGGACACATCGAGTAGCTGCCACCCGCACGACCCAACCAGGGCAACCAGGGCAACCAGGGCCGGGGACAAACTGCAGCCAAGATATGTGCCCCTAGTGGGAACCGAACCCGGGTCTCTCTGGACCACAAGCCGACGCTCTAACCGCTGAGCCAAACTGGCCGGGGCTAGACAGCTTTTCCTACTGCTCAGTTAACAGCATCACCGAAACAATGTACCTAGTTGAAGAAAACTTGCATTAGTTTGAAACTTTGTAAAACATTTCACAAACAATGGAAGGGAAGCTGTTTTATTTGCCTTATTTATCAATAGGCTTGCGTTAGAAACTGCACTTGCTGAGATAATGAATCCATTATGAAGGTATAATTGACTTGACTAAGAATAAAATTGATTTTCCTTTCTGATATCACTGGATTTTTAAAACCTGATCTGATAATGGACTGTTTTCACATCACTCTGCTAGGTTTCCCGCGTCAATATTTTGGAATTCGTTGTTTGTTTACAGTAACTAGAGTGTTTCTTTATTGTTACTTCTGTTTCTTCACGCCCTCTGCATATTGTGTCATGTTTGGTATCTCCGTCAATGTGTTACAGTTTAGCCAGAGGTTGAAATCAAAACATCAGCCCATCCTGAGAATGTCGGCCGAGGCTCTCCCCAATGGCACGTTTCACTCACTGTGTTGAGATGTGGGCAGCTGGCCTGACATGGTCCTATTGAGGCACGGAGGCAGACAAAATGGGCATTGGAGGTACAGACTGTAGCTTAAGGACAATTTGAGAAGACCAGTCAAGGTCAGGACAGGCAGCTGCATTGCTGAAGAGCAACCCAGCCCAGAAGTCTGTGTTAGGGCTCCTTCAACCCCTGGGCCGGCTGCCTGGCCAATGAGACGGAGAAAGAAAAAAGAAGCAGAGCCCTTACATTTGGCTGCTCAGATACTCCAGTGCAAAGAACATTCTAGAAGGACTCCAACAAGGTGCAAATGTTTATGATGTTTCTCAGAGGCAGACTACCAGCTACCAGTCATCAAATCTCGTGTCAGGACTGTTGGTGGAGAGAGAGAGAAAACGGGAGTCCCCACCTTTGTAGAGCGTGAGAGACAGTGAAGGGAGATGAGGGACCCACCACATAACCCAGACCGGAGTACCTGCAAGTCAACCTTCCATGACCAAGGCTTCTCCTTAGCAGAAATATGAAACTTTGGGGCTGGGTGGATCTTTGTTGCTGGGTGGTGGTATGTGGGACGTTGTTTAGCAGCATCCCTGGGCTCTGGGCTCCTCCCACTGGGTCTGAGTAGCACTCACCAAGTTGTGACAATTGACACAGTTCCAGATATTGCCACATGTCCCCTTGGGGGCAAAAATACCCCCCCTTCCCCATTGAGAACTACAGCTCAACACATAACACAGAAGAACTGGGTAACTGTCTCCCATCCCCTCAACATGGGAAGACAAGCGATTTCATGATCACGTGGTTGTTAAGGCTGAATAAAGAACCTCACTGCAAAGTCAGATGACAGGGCAGAGTGACACGCATGGGGACTCCTAGCATACATGGGACAGGGAAAAGCTACCTCTTGAATAAAGTACATACTGCTTCTGCTCCTCTGATGTGTATTGGGCATATTTTATTAATTTTTAATTACGTAAGTAAAACTGAGCTCATTAAAGCATGATCTTATTTTTAGCATATAGTAAATCAGAGAATCTGAAACTCCTCCTGCCACACCTGGAAAATTAAAATATAACAACCGTCCTTTCAACTGCGTGGCTAAGTACACACAAGTGTAAAGACCAGTTCCACTGGCTGAAGCTGGACACCAGACACCAGACCTCGGAGTCCATC